CTGCTGCAGAGCATTACAAAGGTCAACAGCTCTTACCTGTTTGCAGTATTTGTTTTGGAGGGTGGAGTAGATGATCCTTTGTGGATCTGAGCCTCAGGAATACCTGTTGTGTGGAATACCTGTTGTGTGGAATACCTGTTGTGTGGTTTAAGGGATGTTGGTAGGTCACTTTGGACCTCAGCTCAGGAGATGCTGGGTATCTTAATTTTTATTTTCAGAAAAGCAATTGGCACCTTGCCAGCCTGTGTATTCTGTTGGGCACTGGAAGAATTGATTTTTGATTTCTGTTGAGCTGCCTCCTTTGTTTCTGTAGAGGTAATGAAAAAAAAAATCATCTGTCTATACTGACTGAAGACAGGTATTTGTTTTTAAGGGGCTGCATGTGTAAAAGCCATCACTTGCATTACACAGCAGCAGCAGCCTGAATTCCCCACTATTCAGTCATCTAAACCATTATTTTAATTTTTTGCTCAGCTTTTTTGTTAAAAACTCTGTTAGTACACCAACTGCTAGAGTTCAGTCACTGGATTTTTAACTCTGTTTTGTGATAAGCCAGGGGGTCTTTGCATAAGCATTCCTTACAGATCTTTTAGTAAATGAATCCATAACAAACGCTTGGTTTCTCCGGTAGCGAGAAATGCTAACCTCAGTTATTTTGGAATCTTTAGGATATTGGGTTGTTACATTAATATATGATGAGGGGAGAGAAATGAGACTATCCTATTAAACCAGAAATGTCTTATTTTAGATTATCGTTAATGCTGCATTATTGCAAAAGCTGTTGGAAGCTTTTTATTAGCAAGAGGAACATCTATGACAGGCCTATAACATACTTGTTGGTTGTATTTTCTTCTGTTGTGGTAAGATCAATACTAGATCCAAAACTTCTTTCCAAGCTGACAAGGTCTTTATTTTTTTTTTAATTTATTTTTTTTCCCTTCCAATGCCATCATTTCCTGAAGTGCATTTTCCATTCTTTCAGGGTATCTTTGATATGGAGCCTAAATGTAAAGTAGAAGTTTTCAGATACCTTTTCATGTATTCATGTTTCATGTATCTTTTTCTCAGATTGAACTATTTTGTGATATAAAAGCTGCTTAAATAAAGCACTTCATTGAAGTGCCAATTCTTTTTTATATGAAAATAAACTTAGGCACCTTCTTCAGGTGTGAAACTCAAGTTCCTTATGAACTGGAGAACTGAAGCTATTGTCTTAATTTTACACTGTTTCAATTTTAATCCTTGAATGTAAGCCGCATAAAGGCATGAACAGTGTTCCAGTGAACAGCAAAATTCAGAGTTTTCCTATGAAACCCATCTCTAATTGTTGCTGTTCTGTGTAGCAGGCTTCATTTGATTTGCACATATATATACACATGGACAAAATTTAGCTGTTTTTTAAAAAAAATCTTTATTTGGACTACACCAGCTCTATGCTATGAGATCCTAAACATCTTCCAAAATATCCTGAGTGTGTTATTAAATGGTGATGTGCATGTCTAACAAGGTGGAGCACTGCGTGCAGTTATGTTTTCAAGAATTGTTAATTATTTTTTAATGTTTACATGTTATATAGAAGGTGGGAACTCTATGCAAGGGGCAATTGCAGTTGCTGCTAATAATAAATACATGAGATAATTAGGACATTTGCATAAGGAATAGAAGACGTGTCGGTGTGATGGGTGGTGGTTTGGCAGCTTTGAGCTGCAGTCAACAAAAAAGTAAAAATCTAAGTGCATTATTTAAGAGCATCCAGAGTGCCTCAAAAAGCTGCTGTTAAATGATGATGCAAATACTATTTACTACTGATTAAAAGCACAATGTTTTGATAATTTTTTACATATTAACACCATCATATTAATAAACTGTTTCTACTTGAACCAGCCTCGCCTGTCACTTCATGGTGTTACCAGTGTCACTTTGCAGAGCATTGAGGTGTAGTCCCAAATAAGGGCCCTTTCCCTGGCATGCAAAGCAAATCAACACCCAGGAGTTGAGATTTATTTGCTTTGCAATTTATCACCTAGCACCTGTTAACTCCAACAGCAGCAATTTATATACAGTATGAAACCCGAAGAAACTAGATATGACTGATTTAGGTGATTTTATATCACATTAGTCTTTGTATGAATGCTTGCTCCATCAATTACCTTATTCACTAGCTTATTTCCCAATTCATTAGCCTATTACCTAATTCATTAGGCTAAAGCAGGCCTCCATTTACATTTAAATTCTCCTCCTAGAGGTGTGGTTTTCGGTAGTAAAATCGCCACAGGTTATGTCGGAGACGCCGTCCAAACCTGCCTCTGGTTTATGTAAAGAAGCTGTAACGAATGAGGTATTATCTAAAAAAAAAGCCATAACGAGGCGCTCACTCCCTCCTTCACTCTTAGAGGCCTCCCAGTCTCTATTCCCCCGTTTCCAGAGCAGATCATGACACATTTACGAGGCTAAACGTTTCCGCGCGTTCCCTGCCGAGAGGGAGCCACCGCCCCCTGAGGGCG